GGTTTGTTAGAGAAGAGCCACACGGTCACCCCGTCCAAGTCCCGTTCGGGGGGAGGAGGGCCGCCTCTGCAAACGCCATAGCACCATGGTTTGTTAGAGAAGAGCCACACGGTCACCCCGTCCAAGTCCCATTCGGGGGGAGGAGGGCCGCCTCTGTAAACGCTCTTTGCTCATTGGTGCATACTGTGGAGCTGTTTATGGGGTTAGTGAGTGTGCCACAGTACCTGGTTTGTCAGGTCGCTTAATGAACATCAGTATTTACCATTGGGGGCCTCTTTCAAGGAAATAAAGAGAGATATTTATGGCTGCCTTTCATGGAGGATAATGCGTGAATTGGAGGTAACCATTAACCAGTCTCTTCTCTGAACCAAAGAGGGCCAGCTGGGGCAGCTCCACCTTCTCTCTGGGAGCATCTCAAAGCTGCTGGGCAGTGATCAGTGCCAGTGATCAGTGCCAGTGATCAGTGCCAGTGATCAGTGCCAGTGATCAGTGCCAGTGATCAGTGTGCGGCCACATCGCACTGGCACCTTCAGTCAACAGCAGACAGATGCTGATGGTTCAGGCAGCCAAACAGGGGAATCTGACCAGTGGGACAGTTTCACAGCACAGCACACAGCAATAGTGCTGCATTGGGAAACTTTATATCTGTTCATGGCTCAGTGGGCTAAGCCTGTGTGCCTGTAATCAGAAGGTTGCCGGTTCAAACCCAACCTAAGCATGTCTGCGGGTCTTTGAGCAAGGCCCTTAACCCCCCAGCTCCCTGGGGGCTGCTACGGGTGGCAGCCCTTTGTGGACAACTTACTCTGCAAAGAGCAAGTTGAGGGAGGTGTAAAGACAATTTCCCCACAGGGATAATAAAGTATCTATTGTGGCAGTGGTGGCTTAATGGTTAAGGAAACACACTCATAATTGAAAGGTTGCAGGTTCAACTCTCTGACCAGCAAGGCACCACTGAGGTACCCTGAGCAAGGAACTAATCCCCGGGCGCTGAATTAGCTGCCCCCTGCTATGTCATGTCGTCACATATGGGTTAAATGCAGAGAACACATTTCATTGCTGTGGTGTGTCAACAATGATGATTAATCACTAAATTCTATTATTAAAGTAGGTTTATGACAGATAACACTCATCTCAGAATTTGACTAGTTTTGCATAAAAGCTTACTGCAATATGATGATATTCTCAATTTCAATTTCATAATAAAGGTTTCATTATCCCAAAGCAGCTCTTTGAGTGTGAGTCACAGTCCACACAAACCCTTTCACATGGTGCGTGAAGAAAGGAGTGGAAAGGAAGCTCTACGATGCGCTGCACTTACTTGCTGAGTTCAGGTTGTCAAACAGTAAACAGAAGCATGTTCATGATGGGCAGGAAGCACAGCAGGACAGCATCGCGCCGTCCTTCTGTGAGCACTCACGTTAGCCCGGTTAATGACTGGCCAGGGTAATTACAGGCCTCTGGCTAGCAGTCCTTTACCAGCAGTATGGTCATTAAGCCAAACACAATGGGGCGGTTGTGCTTCATTAAAGCTAAAAACCCCACATTATCTCTAAAGGTGCTAGCAGTGTTTTCTTTGTCCATCTTTCTTAGGCCTGTTGCCATTTCCAGTGGCTCAAGATTCCGGGTTTGTTTGTTTTTTGTTTGTTTGTGCACATAAATAACCTGGAAACTGCAACAGCGATGCGTTAACACTGTGGCACTGAACCCTGGGCTGTGAGTCAGGCAAATTCAAACATCTTCAGGGATTTACAGAAGGCTCTGAGAAAGGAGCACGTGAGAATACGATGAGGGCGGGAAGGGGAAAGCAAACGGCCTGTTCCAGCAGCCCGCATGAC